AATAACATGTTTTCATTCTGAATGATGAATGAAATCTAATGACTGACTTACTTACTTGCTTACTTACGCCTGTTACTCCAATGGAGTATAGGCCGCCGACCAGTATTCTCCAACCCACTCTGTCATGGGCCTTCCTTTCTAGTTCTATCCAATTGTTTTTCATTCTTCTCATGTCTGTCTCCATTTCCCGGCGTAATGTGTTCTTTGGTCTTCCTCTTCTCCTTTGGCCTTGAGGGTTCCATGTGAGGGCTTGCCTTGTGACGCAGTGCGGTGCTTTCCTCAATGTGTGTCCTATTCACTCCCAGCGCTTCTTCCTAATTTCTTACTCCACTGCGATCTAGTTTGTTCTCTCTCATAGTAGGTTGTTGCTAATAGTGGAAATCTACTGAATGAATCGGTAAATCTAGATAATCAGTTGAAATCAGCAGCGAACTCAAAATGTCCAGTTTACATATACTGACCTCATTAAAAGTGATTTACGAATGGGCATAAATATAGAAATGCACAAGTAGTTACCATTTTGGCAAAATATATTGGTAGAATTATTCTTCTTCAGGATTCATAATACAGATGAATAAGGAACATCGTAAATTTCAATACTGAGTAATTTTTGAATAAACGGCTATTTATTCTTTTTCAATCCTCCCCATTATCCAATATATTGAACAGGTAGCGAGAGTTCTAATGAAGTTTTTTACACTAAACAAAACATTGAGTAGTTGATGAAAATGTCATTTATGTCATATGTATTTTCTGAATAAATTCTTAGTACATTAGTACGAGTAAGTGAATGTTTTGCATTAATTTACTGAAAAATTTGCTTTATATGTCGATTATACATACGGTGTAGTGAATGAGAACACAAGTGGGGACAATTTAATGTATTTAAATACAAAATTACAGAGTATCTTAGTAAAATCTGACAACTGTGAAGTAAATACTTCATTTGTAAAATGTCAGGCAATTGTCCGAGACTTCATTGTTCCTTCGTTTTCACACCAGTCACCCTCTGTTCTCGTTCTGTTTTCGCCGATCTTCTTAACCTTCTCCTGTCACGTATTTTGCTTTAGATTAATGATACATAATACTTATATCTATCGACATCAGTAGCACACACCACAATGGCATTAAAAAATTCGGTTTCATCGTACGGTATAATTTATTGTAACTGGTACCTTCTTCATTACTCCTATAAACCCTCAGGCGTCAAACGTCGAATTGTATATAATATAACTTGGTAGTAGACTACGTTCATGTCCACCTTTATAATGTGATTCCTTCGTCTCACAGAATTTATCAGAATTCTTGACATAAATTTTAGTAGTTTAGGTTCTTCGATAAAAGTGATCTTAATCCGTAATTATGTCATAATGACTATCTGAATTGCTTAACTCTGAAAACATAAAGTCGTAAAGATAACAGAAATGTTCCTATTTTATACGTTTTGATTCATCTGTATCACTAGGGACTGACCAGTTCCATTCTTTAATGTCAACAACGGGAAAATACAAATCCTTACTAGTACTTTGTCGTAATCTATTTGTCATGTTAATAAGATTGAATTTTTATTTAAATAATACACAAACTGTTACTATGTAAACTGTAGCTACAGAATAAATCTTACTAGTGAATAAAACCATCTGTAACCTAGCGGATAGTTAAAAGATTTATCTAGCGTATGTATCGATTCTAAACAAATTTTACAAAGCTAACGATGACTTATAAAATATAATCTTTGCTTAACTGACTTGTAGTTGAAACTAGAGTCCCAAATCTAATTACGTGTAATGAAAATACAAAGACTTTTGATTTGGATTTATTTAACACCCAGAATAAATCATATGATGCATAAGTATACTGATCTTCATATTATTTATTTATTTTCAGATTTGTGTAAACTGAGTAGTATCTCACACCAACAAATCAATAATTTACTATGTGAGCACATTTACAATATCATACAATTAGGTATTTATAACCATTGGAAATAACTAGTTGACTAAATGATATGACAATTAAAAGTGATTAACTGTCGTTGATGATTGCTTCCAATCGTACTTCAGTCAATTAGTTCATTATTCTTTATATCAACTGAACTTGAATCATGTCCAATCAGCATTTTATTAGTTTATTAATTTTTACCTAACCAACATTAAAGTATGAATACTGTACTTGGTATTATTGGCTGATATTTTCCCATTGTTCTTAAGTACCGAAATTCTAGGCGGCCTGCTTGAGCATCTGGGCTACCTGTTCCTGCCATCTAGATATTTCAACAAGTTATCTATCTTTGTTTGTTTTAATATATCATTATGTCTATTAATCGCACAACCTATACTGCTGCGTTTCTGAAAAATGTACAACCTTTCGTTATTAAAGTTACAAAAAGCTCAAAAAGAGAGAATATGGTTGCTGGCAATGTACAACGAAAAGAATGTACATCATTCCCATGTTCATTTACTGGACTGATAACATCTAGCTGGCGACCACTCAGTATTTATCGCGAGGACCGACCAAGAAGAAAGAAACGGAAACTTGTTGAAATACTTTGTGCTGAGAATTCTATATTGTACCAATAATATAATATTGAATAAAGCTAATAATAATAATAATCAGTTTTCTGTTGGCCATATGTGCGTCCTGTGCGGATCGCCTCAATATTGGCTTAAGTCTCAAGCATTATAAACAAAGATGGATAGTGGCTAGCAGTGGAATACAAGACGTGCGTTTCATTCTATTTTGGAACTTGTCAAGCTGGATGTACCTGCATCCCAGAGTTGATAGTCACCTTGGAACTCAAACCCAAGTAACGTTTGCTTGAAACGCCATCGCATTATACACTTATCTACAGAGTCCTGATAGCCACCTGCTTGTACAATGGGTGAATTTCAAATTCACTCATTACTGTTTGCTTGTATCATTTCATTGTTGTAAAGGACTACAACTGATCAGTCTCTTGTTGGCATATGTGCATCCTGTGCGTATTGCCTCGATATTGTCTTAATTCACAGGCATTATAAGCAAAGATGGATGATGGCTAGCATTGGAATCCAGGAAGCGCGTTTCGTCTTATTTGAGGCTCTCCAGCTGGAAGTACCTGCATCTCAGATTTGATGTTCACTCCGGGACTCGAACCCAGTACTTTTCACTTAAAATGCTACTGTGTCATCTACTTAGCTACTGAACATCAAGTTCGGAATGCAGGTACATCCAGCTGACGAGTAACAAATAGAACGAAACGTGCGACCTGGATTCCAATGCTAACCACTATCCATCTTTGTTTATAATGCTTGAGACTTAAGCCAATATTGAGGCGGTCTGTACAGGACGCACATATGGCCAACAGAAAACCGATCAAGTTCAGTACTTAAGAACAATGGGAAAATACCAGCAAACAATACCAAGTGAACTTATTGTACTTAGTAGTTTCTTCCTAACAATATCTGGTGTTTGATGTATTGCTCATTTAAATATTAATGATGAGTTTCTATGTATAGATATATATATACACCTTAAAACCACTTATAATTTAGCGGCAGATAGACCGGTGATAATTTTCAAATCATATTCTAACAATACATTAATAATTATTTTATAAGTAGTTAATTATAAATATTTTAAAAAAGATTTTTAGATAAATTATGATAGTCTGCAAATATAAAAGGAAATAAAATTTATAAAACTCTATTAATTTGATCTGATAAACATTTTGTATGAACCTAAAATTTTGTGTTGATTCATGAAAAATAAAAAGATCAAATGAGTATTACATTGTAATGTCTATAATTAGGACAGTAAACCAATTTCCAGATTATACAATATATAGTTATAATAATTTATTATTTATTTAAACATATAAACACTGGTACAAGGAGGCACCAGACAGATATGTGCCACATAAATCATTCGATTTGTGTGAAGGCTGAGATACTGTCCGGATGGCAAAACTGAAGCAGGTGGTTTTCTTAGGGGTTCACAACCGGAGCCTTCGACCTAATGGTATGATCCATAAGAGAGTGGAGCAACGTCAGGTGATGCAGTACTACATAGTAGCCAGTGACCAAAGATTGGTTCATACGCTATTTGTTTCCTTCAAGATCCTGGAGTGCATGTGCACCATTGATTTGGAATCAGGGTTTTCCAACTCGTCTAAATGGAATCTCCGTGTTCACCAACCTGATTAAGGCGCCAGACCTTGACATTTCGTCTTCTTGATTTGGTGAACAACAGTAGTGCCAGTAGAAGGCAGTGTGTAGGACTTTCGTGGCAGTGATTGCATGCACGTGATCATGTGAGAGAGTTTCGAGCGGGAGAGCTCTCTTTCCCTACTCTCAGCCGTACCAGAGCATTTGGAGGCGTAGTGTGTTATAAAATGAATGAATTTATTGAGATTACATAGTAACAAATTTAAATAAATTATATTTTGTATAGTTTAATGTAATAACTATACGTATAGTATCTTGTTAGAATAATTTATTGTTAAAAATTTTTTTAAAAGGAAAGCAATATAGTGGTTGAACCAAACTCTTTCATCTTACAAAAAATAACGCCATTAAAATAATCTAAAACGTTATTTTAAATATTTAAATGCTTGGTAACACCAGTGGCATATTACTTAAACGTCAGTCTTTTTTTTAAAAAAAATAAGAAAAGAGGATTTGTCGATTTTAGTTTGTTTGAGTGAGCAGTTCGTTTCCCATACTATCTTCAGTTTTGCTGCTGAGTAGTATGTAATCTCTAAGCTAAATGGTTTAATTTTGAAGCCGTTTTTTTTTGTCATTCTGAATAAAATCTTCAGTTAAATGCAATTTGTTCTACATACAATATTAGATTTGTCTTCTTTTACAATTATGTTACAGTTATGATTTCATAGATGTTATTCTGAATGAGCTTATCATTTAAACCATTCAGCTTAGAAAACACAATACCATTCAAAGCATTCACTTATCTTTCAAATCTTTTCAATCATTTAACACTTATCTTTTTTACTTTTAATTTAGATGTCATGAATATTGTCAAGCACGATTAAATTTAATCTTTGATTCATTAACTGGTCATTCAGATTTACCATCTTTAACTAGAAAATCAAGAAATTTATTTGTCAATAAATTAAATCGTCATTCATTATACCGATTAACGAATCATGAAAATAATCTAATGAAACATGAAGAAAAGCGAATAACAAAAAGTAGAAATGTAAAATCATCAAATAACATCAATATTCATAATACTGATGATAATGATATAAATCAAATGAATAATTTTCTTATTGAAGCTGAACAATATCGAATGTTATATAAACCTGAATTAGTATTTACATTCAGATTAAATCGTAAATTAATTCAATCATTAGAATTAGGTGAATCATTAATTGATGGATTGAAAAATGTAAGTTTTGAAAAATTGTGTTTTTTTTTATTTCTTTATAAAAATGTTATTCTTAACTGGTGTCTTCTTGGATAGAAATAATCACTGAACAAACATTTTGTCCAAGTTTCAATTCTTTTTGAGTCATAATCTGCAAGAAATGTATTTTGTATTGTTTGTTTGAATCTTTCCATGGATGTTGAGGATTGCAATTGATCAATCTGTTATTGGCATATGTGCACAAACATTATATAAACAAAGATAGTTGGTGGCTAGTAGTGGAATCCAGGATGTGCAATTCTTCCTGTTTGTAGATAAGTGGATAACGCGATGGCATTCTAAGCGAACGATACCAAGCTTGAATGACCGAGTGATCATTATGTCTCGGATGCAGTTACATTCAATTGACGAGTCTACTGCTAGCCACTATCCATCTCTGCATATAATCTATATTGTTCGGAACATTAATTTATTTGTTATCGATTGTTTAGACTACTGATGTGACCTAGAAAAAGGAAATCAAAGATATTCAGTATAATTATGTTATGCTTTCAAACCAATAAATTTTTCCCGCTTTACACTATGATACAGAATTTTTATTTAAGAAGCTTTTAAGTTATCTAGTAAGTCACCAAAATTACCGATATACAAAATACTGTCGCGTAATTTCTCTTCGATAATAATGATCAACTTCTGCAGAATTCTATGGATATCAATAAAGAAAAAATTTATACAGCGTTTTTCTACTTCTAAAAGATCGAATTTTGAAATGGGATAGTCAGACGTACTTTACAACATAACATAGTTTTTCGTAGTTTTCTGTACTCATCAAGGAATATAAGGTGAATTCAACATGTTAGTTCATCTTACAAATGATTTTTGTCTGTTGGACGTATAGGTGGATTACAAACATGAGGCATAGTATCTAAATCTCGAAAAGAAATAGTAACAATTCAATGAACAAGTCAACTGTTTTATCACTCAAATTTATATTTCGCTCTTATACTACCGTAATGGCTGTCACAAATATTTCATCATGTATAAATGGTTATTCATAAATCGAAAATCTTTATATTGCCTGATAAGAACTACTATCCGTCGTTTTAGTTCTGTTTCGTTGCGTTCTAACTAACGAGAATAATGTATATATTCAAAGTAACAAATTATATCTGATATTCATCAACATACGGTCACTAGCGGCGGTCTCCGTGAGGTATTTACCTGGTGTTCTAGTGGTAAGCATTGAGTAGTGGAGTTCAACCGGATGAGTTGTGAGACCGTAACTCACTGAAGATAATGTTGGATGTGTCGTTCGATTTCGTGGATTAGTTGAAGTTAGACATTAACATCGTTGGATGTCGGCTCAGTGGTCTGGTTGTGGGTTCGAATCTCGTGAGGCGAAATCGCGGATGTGCACTGCTGAGAAGTCCTACAGTAGGACGAAACGGCCTCCAGATATTCCATCATGGTCCAGCATCAATTGTCTCATTATCTCAACTATTAAAATTACCACAAAACCCCTTCTGATATATGTAAATACTAAAGTAAACCTTAAGTGAATGCTATCAATAATACTCATAGATATTGAAAGTCGATGAAATAATAAAAGTAATCCCCAATTCTCTATTCATATATTTATCATTGAAGTTAGGGTCAAGTTGAATTTAATATTCATTCTGTTGTATTTACTATTAATACTAAAATTATTGTTATCTATTCAACCCTTGATTGTGTTATTACTCCATTCAGTTTCTTTTTGTTTAGTTCTTCTATTATTTGTTTACTTGTTTATTTATTTGGTTTTTTGTATTTTGTTTACTTTCTTGCTTATTTTCAAATAGGAATACTTGTCTAAATGTATTTCATACTGTTATTATCATTACTATTGTATTTTGAATAATCCTCTTTTATGTTTATTAGTGTCTAGGTTAAACAAATACTATGTATGTTTAAATAATCTTATCTAATTTTGCTTGTTTTTGTTTTAATTCACTAGTTAACTTGTTGTTTATGTTTCGATTATTGTGAATATGTAGTTGTTTATTTATGTTTAAAGAACATCATTTCGATAGAGATTCAAGTTTAAATAGAGAAATCTGTATTTTTATTTATGATTAAGATAAGTCAGACAGTCAATTGAATGGATTGATTGAATGATAGACAGATAAATAAGCAATTGAATGTTGAATTTATAATGTTGAATTCCCTCCAGAGAACTGGATATCTGAATAATGATAATAATAATAATAGTAATGTGTAATCCACTGTTAAGTTTCTTTTCGTTTTTTTTTCACTTCATGGTAAGAAAATAAAAATCAGGGGCTTTTTCATTAATGAATGTTAAGAATAAAAATAAACAAATGAATAGTTTGTTTGATACACTTTTTGTTGTATAATGACTTAATAATAACAATATTTAAATTATCAAAACGGGTTTTGTGAAGATTTTGGTAAGTTTATAGTTGAATTCATGAGTCAATTAAAGTTATACCATCATGGAAAACTTGGAAGCACTGAACAGCCGTTTCGTCCCAGTATGGGACTCCTCAGAAATGCGCATCCACGATCCCAACCCCCCCCAAAGGGTTCGAACCCAGGACATATCGGTCTCGCGCGCGAACGCTTAACCTCTAGACCAATCAGCCGGTATTCAACGGTGTTAATGTCTAACTTCACCAATCCACGAAATTGAGGCACCGTCCACCATTATCTTTAGTAAGGAGCCTAATACCAGGAAGAAACTGCAGTTCATTACTTCCAGATTTTCCATGATGGTCTAGCTTCAATAGACTCAATAATACAACTATAAAATATTTAAATTCTTAAAAATGTTAAATTGTAGTATGTTAAGATAAAACTTTTTTATAAAACGTAAACAAAACGAAGTGAATTCAATATAGCATGAACTGACAATGATATTTTTTAAAACTAAAACGATCGGATGATACTGATTTTCATCGATATCACGAACTGATCCAAGTTAGATAGCTAGTAAAAACCTGGAAGTACAAGACGATCATTTTATCTTTGTGGGTAACTCTCCGGTAGCATGCATCCACGTTACAGGACACTCAGGTTTCGTCCGCTAACGCATCCAGAGGACCACTGAACCTTGGTCTATCGGTGTTAGCTGATAGATTTGATATTTCTCTAGAAGATAAATAATTTCAGATTTTCTTGAATAATGTTGATAAGCTTACTTTATCTGGAACAGGCCGATAAGTATTCTCCTCGTAAAATACATGTTCAGAGTTTATATATAGATGCTTAAACCAATCTATTTAGAGAAATCTGTTAATTCATCAGTTGAGATGCTTCTAACTATCTCAACTAAGCATCAATTAATTAGGCATCTTATGGAGATTAACTAGATGCAAAGATAATTCTCGTCATGGATGGGTATCGGCTGTGACATCATTGAAAATCAAAGTAAACAGAACTAATGTTCAACTTTTTCATACTACTTAGAGATGTACATTCAAACTTAAAACCTTCAGGTGTTATGGGGAGATTTTGATAGATTTTTAAAAATTAGTTATTAGTATGAAGGATTAAACTATTTTTGGTAGTCGAAATAATCCATGAATGTCTTAAGTTTATTCAAATCAGGCACATCACTTCAATAGCTTAACCAACAGTTTTTTAAAGAATTACACTTGGAACATAAAGCTCATACATTTTATAAGGCACAAAGGAAGTATCTCTAGAAAAATATTTTAAGTTTAAACCATCTATTTAGTTAAATTTTTACAGAACATTTTCGTAAAGATACGTTAATTAAAGAACCCTAATAGAACCAAAGAACACTAATTAATCGTTGTTTTTAGGTCAAGTATTATCATCTATCTGCATCTATGGCCTATTATTCAAGACATTCCAGGTCCTGTGACGAGCCCAATTTGTTTAAATCAATAAATAAACCAAAACTATATATTATTGTTAATAGTAGCCTATGAACTGGAGTTCCTCACATTTCAATAAAAGATTACATAGCTAATAAAAAAAGTTTTTACCTGAAAGGGACTGGATAACTATTACGTAATATCATGAACTGATTGAATTTCAAAATATAAATGAGTTAATTCCAACTTAATAGATCTAGTATTGAGTAATCTCAGATATTTCAACAAGCCTTAGGGTAATTTTTATTGAGACAAGGTAGCCTCGTTTTGGTTTTGGAGTTAACCTTATATTCTTGAATAAATATTATCTTTAACATTCAAATAACCTTTATTCATATCTATTTACTTACATAATTTACTCATCGTAATCAGCACTGATTACTTAATTGAATATAAATTGTTAATTAGTATAGGTCAACACACTTAGTAAAATGTAGAGTATCACTTTTAATATCCTATAAATAATACATACATATGTATTAATTATGCCACTTAGTAGTTAATTACCGTCATGCTTATTAACCATTAAACTGAATATTTGATAAATATCAACTCAGGTTTTCATTACTTATTTATTTTAAGAATAAAACTTAATTGATACGAACTAACTTTGGAAATACATTATAAAGCTTTGTAATAGAAACATTTATTTGTTTAGAAAGTTAACAATATGGTGTGGCTGAATATGTATATATCTATTCAATAGTTGAATTCATGAATCAATTGAAGCTAGGCCACCATAGAAAACATGGAAGCATTGGACGAAACGGCCGTTCAGTACTTCCAAGTTTTCCATGGTGGCCTAGCTTCAGTTGATTCATGAATTCAACTATTAAATCACTATAATACCTACGAGAACTCTTCTCTGATGATAGTATATCTATTTGTTAGATCGATTTATATCTTCTTAATTTAAATCACGAACTGATTTTAGCTATACAATTATTGAAATATACGAATGTCTGGATAAATTTTCGCTTCGGCATAGGGCTCATCAAGAGTGTATATTTCATAACTTCATATCCGGAAATCGGAACTAATAACTACAGTCTCGTGTGTGAAAACCTAACCTATAAACCACTGAGTTAACGCTTAGTAGTGTACAATTGTCTAACTTCAATCAACTCATAATTCTGTATAGTGTTCATTCATTGCCTGAGTTGGATAACTATTTTACATCTGACATGGTTGACAGAATTGATTATTGTCTCATTGGTTTAGAAGTTAACCGATAGACCAATGATCATGGATTTAATTCCTAGATTGATGATCGTAGGTACTCACTGTTGATGAGTTTCATACTAGGACGAAAACGTCAACTATCGATTTTTTCACAATTCTTAAATAAAGTTTAAAATATTTCAAAACCTAGAGAATATAAGCTGATCTATGAATAATGTATAATAATTTGTTATCTTGAACGTAACAACTCCTAAGAAAACAATGAAATAAATTCAGTTACTATAAGATTCCTATAATTAAACAAGCCTATCATCTTCATTGTGAAATCAAAATAATAAATGGCAAATTATAAAGTACCGTTATGAAATAAGAAAGAAATGATAAAATTCATTTATGATTTCTTTTAAAGCAGTCACAAGAATACATATATATTTCAACAGTGTGTGTGTGTGTGTAATGACCTCATTCTTGGTTAAGATTCATAAGAGTGATTGCCAAAATATAATTCCCATTGAAATGGAATAAATGTAATCATAAATCAACATTGAACTAGACAACAACAACAACAACGATGGCAACAACGATAACAGCACATATGTATTGCACAAATATCATTTTCTTTTCTTTTCTCTTCTTTTTTTTCTTTCCATTCCACAAAAAAATTATCTTTCCTTATATAATAAAATACATTGAAAATAAAAATAGCAATTGTAGAATGGAAGTGAATTTTTATAGACAGATGTTTCAATAATAATAGTAAAATGTGGAAATAAATTAAGTCAAGTTTTTTACAGTGAATAATTTTTCTACAGAAAGACATTTCGATGAAACTAACATTTATGAACAACCTTTGAACGACAGTAAATTGACCTTGAAAGTGTCCATCTAATAACTAGGATCAAATAAGGGTTATAAACTAGTGTAAGGAATTAGAATTATGATTTATAGTTGATAATTATGGTTAGGAATTAGATTTAGGGTTTTCATCATAAATTGATATCAGTTATAATGCCAAAACTCTATGTGACCAAATGGATGGATGAATTTCGCGCCAAAATCCGAGATCTGTTATCTTATATCTGATTGGTTTGTCCATAAATGATCGTCTTGCCGAAAATTTTTAAAATGTAACATAAAGAAATATATAGAATAATAAAACTGTCATAGAATAGATGGAATGAGATTAGTAAAGGAATACAGAACTTGTGCTCTGTCTCATTCGTGTATGAATTTCATTTTAATGTGTAATAGTTAGGATTATCCTGCTGTTGATAATTTTACGGAATTCTCATGTGTCTTATTTGGTATATGTGTATCTTGTGTGGATTGCCTTGAAATACAGTTTTGGATACGTCTCCTAGCCACGTTATATTTATTATATATAAACTAATGACATAATGGCTATATCAAAGTAATTCACACAGTATGCACATATGCCAACTAAACATGATCAAAAGTCCATCAAAATATCAACAACAAGATAATGAAAACTACTAAAAATTAAATAAGTAAAATAACCAACATAAGGAGATATTTCATATCAGATGTATAATTATAACTACAGTGGTGTGATTTTTCAGTTGTCCATTAGAATTTGATAATATTCAGTATGGTATTGTGGAGATTGTTGAGTTGAACCGACCAATGTTAGACTATCATTGAAAGTGTGAGAGCTCTAGACAACCGTTCGGTCCTAGTATAAGACTCTTCAGCAGTGAGAAGCCGTGACTAGTGGAGCTGGTCCGTGTCACGTGTTAGGCAGTTACCAACCGAAGACAATGCAAGTTGGTTGCGCAACATCGTGGAATGGTTAAAGTTAGACATTAACACTGTAGGATTCTGGATTAGAGGTCTAGATGTTAAGCGTTCGCGAGCGAGACCAAAGTTCCAGGGTTGAAATCCTGTGTGTTGGGTCGTGGATGTGTACTGCTTAGGAGCCTTACAAAAGGATAAAACGGCCATCCAGTGCTTGCAGGCTTCCAGAGGTGCTCTAACATTAATCGGTTCATGACCTCAATCAAAACTTAGCAATCCGCACAACCCTACACTGCTAAAATATTTAGTGCTGTCATCCATGTTAGTGGTATATGACTTAAGCTGTCAAAAAAAGTTAACCTATTTGATTTGCTAATAGTATTGAGAGTCACTGACACATTTCAAAATAAGATTATTAAACCAGGAAACAATTGATTTTCAAGTTTATGAAGTCAAACCATGATGAATAAAAAAATTTACTTCATTATATTCATTCTAGGAATTACAATTCACTCTTTATTATGATTGTATTTGAGTATATTTTTGTTGTTGACTTACATCAGCAGAAAAACCATTGTTGTATTCTGGTCTGAAACTTCCTAACTATGTGAAATTAAATCCACACACAAGAATTCACGAAACTGAGTGACACATCCACCATTGTCATCAGTGAGTTACTATCTCACTAAAGACCCGGTTGAACTCCACTCGTCACAGCTTCTTGAGGAGCCCCACAATAAGACGAAACGGCCCTCCAGGGCTTCCAGGTTTTCCATGGTTGTCTAGATTCAGTTGACTCATGATCTCAACTATTAAAATTACTATAATTTTTACAAAAACCCCTTCTGATAATAACTTAACTATTGATAGACTGAAGTGAATATTTTAGTCTCCTACATAAAAACACTTTACTTTTCGATTATATTTCTCATCTAATTGAAATTTGATTGAGGTTAGAAATGCAATGCACTAGATAAATACTTAGTTATTCAGAAGCTAAGCGCCCATGTACCAGATCTAAAGTATTGAGTCAGATCCCGTTAGTGTCATGGATGCGAACTACTGAATATTCGCATATTAGAATGAAACAGCTATCTACTGTTTCTTGATATTCATTAGTTATCCAAGATGAATGAGTGATTTATTCTTTAAATGAAATTAAATTATTATCATAATCTCTTTAATTCAGATATTCACTAAGATATCACCTTCATTGGTTATCTTACAAATCTGTTTTATGTAATCTTGTCTTTTTACGAGTACAGTTATTAAAGATTACATCATTTTAATAATAATAATAAATGTTGCCCAATGTTTTCAATATGAAAATACTATTTTAATTAGTAGAGATAACAGGTAAAATTGTCTAGTTACCATCTGTTCTATACACAAATTAGTCGTTCATATATATCAAGTATTATTATGTATTGTGTCTTTAAATGAAACAACTCGTATAAACAAACTAACAACAACAACAACAAAAAACAAACAAACAAAATTTACACATCATTATGGTATACATTATGCTTGATTATTGTAACCTGTAAGTTTAACTATCCTAGATTTGTTACTAGTCATAAATTATGTAATATCTTCACATTGTTTTTTGGTGTGTGTGCGTGGGGGGGGGTAAGTCTCAAAATTTTAGTTCGTATAAACTCTATAGATAAACAATTATGGTATTCTTATTTGAAATCTGTAAATATCAATATATATTCATTTGTTTTCTTAAGTTAGATGTTGTATGATATTGACAGATTGATGAGGATGTACACTGGGTTTATTAAATATATCATTTCCACTTGCAGTAATGAACATTAACAAGATTTCTCAAGTAGTGAATCATTTTCTTATATTACATTAGTTATAATTTCATCCAAAATCTAGAGTTATCAATACAAGGACCTATTCAATAAAATGAGCAAGTTATGATCCAAAACTAAATTTGTAGACAATTATTCTACAAAAGTATTGTAATGAACGAGAACAACAATGTGGAGAACCAAATGTATTTAAATATAGAATTACAGAACGTCTTAGCAAAATTTGAGAACCATACACTAAATACTTCATTTGTAAACTTTCAGTTAATCGTCTCAGACTTCATTATTCCTTTGTATCCACACTAATCATTCTCGATTCTCTTTCTGTTTTCTTTGATCTTTTTAACTGTCTGCCACCAGGTATTTCACTTTCGATTGATGAGATATATACTATTTATATCTATCGATATCAGTATATATATTAATAATAATTTATTCTATATAATTAAAATTAATTTATTTCCCTTATAATTTTAGTTCAATATTGCTCAAGGTACATGTATGCGAAAACTAATGCGTATGCATTATTGTGCATTATGCGCTGGTGAAACTTTAACAAGACCATGTCCCGAATTATGTTTAAAAATTTTATTAGATTGTTTAAGACCACTTAGTCAACTTAATCCACAATGGTATCGTTTCACAGGTAAGATGAGTTTATTTTATATTTATGAATCATTTACAATTTAATCACAAATTTATTAGGTAGTTAGTTAAATAAATTTAGTTGACAACTATCAAAATGGCTTATCTACAATCTTAAGGAATTGACCCTTTATAATATGATTCTAGATCTATTAGTACTATAAAACTATTCATATTGAATTAGATATTGGAAGTTATAAGGTGAGTTGAATGGTGGCTAGGATGAGTATTTCATGTCATTTGTACTGTTTCAATCTTGAATATCAACAGCTGGATAACTGAATGCCTTCTTAATAATTATAGAGTTTTTTTATTGGTAATGTATTCAATTATTGACTCACTTATTTCTCAAGATGAATGCCAATAAGCTTATTAACTCATGGCAATGTTCATAAATCAAAACACAATGTAACAGATACCAATTCTTTACAATTAAAAGGCCTGTTATACCCCAGTCGCATGAACCTTGTAAAGTTAAAATATCAAGTAATTATATTTCGAACAATACTGTTTTTAAGCAAAGATTGATAGTGGCTAGCAGTGGAATCCAGGATGCGCGTTTCGTCCTGCAACCCAGAGTTGATGTTCACTTTAAGACTCATAAGTTGTCTACAGTTCAACTATTGAAATAATAATGAATTCAAAGTAATATTTTCCTTTTAACTTGAGAATCATCAACAATGACCATATACATGGGATATGACCTTAAAACCTATGAATCATTACGTTACTGCTATATATTTAAGAGTAACTCAGTTGGAATCTAATATCATTTTAACATAATATTTTGATTTCATGTTATTAATAGGTTACTATCTCACTTCTGAATTGGTTAATTTTCCACATATAGATTTACTACTAGTACAATGGTAATAAACCTGTACTTTTCTATTATAATATAGAGATACCATCAAACATTCTAATTATTTCTGTGAAACTGTTTCAATCAAAAACTACTTGAATTTTACATAACTATCTCTCATTAGAAAGCAATTTGTTATTATTCAGATATAAAAAACTGCATGTTTTATTTTCGTTTCCCTAATCTATCAATAGAGCTTAATCTTCTTTGAAACAATATTGTATTTCTTGTAATACATTTGACCTGAAAACAATATTCTATATTTGATAGGTTACCTTGTTGTTACTGATTGCTAAGATGATTACTAATTAACGCATTCACTAGTGACTAATCAAAATATAATCACTGTCTTATATAAAAATTATTCAATGTTTCAATGGTGCCAAAGTGTATACTAGCTAGTAAAAAAAAGGTTAATCGAAAACATGACCTTGTGTGTATGTTTGAATAATAAACTGATAAATAATTAATGAACAATGATATATTCCTGTTGAAAAGAAGATGAAGCAAAGATGAACAGTGGTTAGCATTGGAATTCAGGATGCGCGTTACGTCCTATTTGGGATTCGTCAGCTGGATGTATCTACATCCCAAAGTTGATGTTCACTCCGGGACTTTGCTTAAAAAGCTTATGAATTAAGGCAATATCGAGGCAATCCGAACAGAGACATTTTATTTTTGGTTAGCTATATACTATTTCCAAAGTTTTACTACAAAAAAGGAATTTCATGGATTTGACAAGATCCAGTTTTTCTTCTGGATTTTTGAAACACTGAATAATTGTATTTCACTGGCTTTGGTTATTATTTAGACATATTGACATATAATTCCCATCTAAACATTAAAAACAAGAGGTTCAGCGAAGAGATCTCTTTTCAATGTTTTATGCAGCAAAGCTGAGAATAACGTTCACTAGTAGGAATCTGTTTTCTCTATCCGTAGAGGATAGATATCCCCGTCTGTTCGCCTCCATGTGCATCTATTAGTTCATCTGCCCTTGTGAGCATTGTACATAAGCCATAGTCAACGCTTGCTTTCAACTCAGATAAGAGAAAACGTCACAGTGTGGTTCTACAAGTGTGAGATGAAAGGAGTTCCATTCTTGAACATCTAATTGGCTCTAATCACTCTACCTATCCACAGGTTGGTTTTAAGAATCTTTATAAAATTCATCCAAATCCACCTAGGTTTCTTCTCATCCAACTCCTTAAAACGGCAGAAGCTCTTTGCCATCCATGATTTGAGGCTAGAACTGTGCGTACAAAAGAAGTACATCTCATCGTTATCGTTACCTTGGCCTTAAACTGTTAATATTATCATCAGTGCTTCATTTTGTATCTAAAAATACCTCCCTCTCTCTCTAATTATGTCTCATATCCTCATAACTGTTTCTGATATCACTCCATTACATTTTACTCCTCTATTACCGTTAATTATTGTAACAAAAATATTTTATTCACCTTACTTCATTCACACTACAATCCGTTGCTAACTTATTAATTTTACAAGGCTTTCTATTCACACACACGGAATCTCTTGTTGTTATTATTTATGTTAAGTAACTTAATGTTATAATCCCTCTATTAAATCACCATATTTATTCCCTGTTCATATGTCTACACAGAACTAATAATTTAACAAAAAGTATTCATATATATACGATTGTACAGCTTGAAAATAAGTTCGTTGAAAAGGAATTCCTTCGCTTAAGTTCATGTTTTTAAAAATTTGCAGATATCACTGTAGCGAAATAATGTAGTTCTGAGTCTTCACGCACTCACATCTTGAATTATTTTCGTTGTGAATTAAAGAATTAAACTAACATCATTACACCTTTGTTAAAATTTACGTCCTTGTACTACTTTTGAAATTAGTACGCAATCACACTTTTGCATAGGTTTGCTTAACTACTTATAAATTTTAAGTAGACAAACGCTTCTTGTTAAAGGACCTAGGATATGTTTGGACTGGTTAACTATAATAATGGTCATAATAATGACAAGTCTCAAAAATTCTGAAAACGATTACGGTATGAATACCAGTTTAAAAGTCGTATCAGTCATCATCCTAACTAACAGTTTTGTCACATGATATTTGACGGGCCTAGTGATAAGTCTTGCGGATTTGAACGCTATATTCGTCTCCTAAGCTATTCTGTAACCCTCAAGCTAGAACCATACAGCGACCTGAACACGAGAGAAAAGACCCAAATTATGCGAGAAGTAGTTTACTCCAAGGTTCATTTTAACACGGAAAATACAGGGCTTTTATAATATTTTAAATGTCCTTGGGTTGCTAGAAGATTCTGGAATGCTACTAAACATAGTGGCAGTGTAGCAGCCAACCAATCAGAGCCTCTTCATGTGACGTTTCGCCTCCTTGATATTTTCGGCCAAGACTCTAAGTGAACACTGATTGGATGAAACGCTTCTTAGTGATTCCTGATGCTTGCTTGTCTTTTGCAAGCAATTCTCTGGATCACCCCAACACCTAGGACATAGCAATTTAGATTTCTGTATGTTACTATTCATTTATTCTTCGTATGGATATAACAGCAGTTTAAATTCTTTTCAGATGATATTAAAAGACTATTCGGCTTTTGATATTTTACCCTAAGAAGACTAACTCGTAAACAGTTAGGAAATCGTAAGCGAGTAAGCGAGCGTTATTTGATTCTAGTCTAACTGAAAAAGAAACTGCATTTGCATGAGAAACATATAAAAGAAATGAGAGCAAGGAAAGTAAAGAATAGTGGGATATCTCTCTTTATCAAAATATCAGATTCCCCATGTCAATACTATTGCATTATTCCAATATTATAGAGTTTTATAGTTGGACGGAATTAAAAATGATCGATTTCCTAATCGAATGATTCAAACTTTTCATTGGTACCCAATAAGTTACTAAAGAAAATTTCAATATTCAATAAAGATTCTCTCTTATTGAATTGAAAAAAGGGTTCATTGTATTATTATTTATTGTTATTCTTATTATAGAAACTATCAAAAGTGTGGCAGATATATTTTTAGAAAAACCACAATTAAGATTAGAAAGTCAATTGGATGATTTTCCAGAACATCTTGTAAATTATTATCATCAATTATTGCATACCTATCACAACTGGGTAAGAGATGATTGCGTTTTTTGTTTCGGGATCAATTTAGTTGTAAATATGAAATGTATTCATTTAAGTAAACCAAGTAGTTTAATGATGAATGTATATAAAATATTATTTCACTGTATAATTAAACTTAGCATTTGTTAAATGTAGTGAATTTCTAGAGAATGAGTCTATCCTTTTCAATTATGAAGTAACGATTGTGCAGTGACATAAGTTGGCTATGAACAATTCCAGGTTTTCTACTTTGTCAGTTATACTATATATTACATTTTATGGAAAATGAAATGTTTCGTTTAACTGAATATAACTGATTAACAAAATAAATGTGCATACATTTGGTGACTATGATTTAGCATTGGTCTTGTATATGAGAAATACACTTACTTACTTACGCCTGTTACCCCTCGTGAAGTAGAAAATGCGATATACTAACACTCTCTATCCAACTCTGTACTGAGTAATCTTTTCTAGTTGCTATTCATCCTTTTCGTGTCTGCTTCCGATTCTCGATGTAGTGTGTTCTTCGGCCTTCCCCTTTTTTGTTTACCTTCAGGATTCCAAGTTAGGGCTTACCTCGTGATGCAGTTTGATGATCTCAATGTGTGTCTTATCCACTTACAGCGTCTTTTCCTAATTTCCTCCTCAGCCGGAAGTTAGTTTGTTCTCTCCCACTGTAGGTTGTTGCTGACGGTACCCGATCAACGGACATTCAGTTTCTTAAGTATGAGACATCCACTCATTTTGAGATAATACTAATAATTTACATCATGCTTGAATATAGTTAACCAAGTTTGCATGTTTTCCAAATACAGTATGGACTTAAGTGCTTTGTTTGTGTAGTAGTAGTGAGCACTGTACTGTGGTTCATCATTCATAGTAATACTCAGCAAGAATTGAAAGTGTTTTCTTCAAATTTTGCACTCTACCATTTCTTGTTTCGACACTGACAAAAGTCAGTGAGATATAAACTTATATTACGAATGTCGAGCTATTGTTATCTAAGTTCAACTAAAATGTTCTACAACTGAAATTCTGTATTATAGTGGGTTTATTCGGAGATAGTTTTTTATCGTTGACTAATATCAATTAATAAGTCATCAAAAATCAAATAGAAATTGATAGCTATTTCATCTCATTTAGGGGTGATAATTGTTAGTGTCTATCCACGAAATTGAATAGTATTTGATCCACAACGTCAAATTTTCCCAGCTATATTAACATTTGGATTCTTCACAATCAATTCAAATGGTGAAAACTATTAAAATTAGTAAACTGCCGAAATCTCCGCTCACATAATTCTTACCATTTTTATGGTTATTTTAATGGACTGATCTTAGTTAAACAACTATGAAACATCTGGAAGTTCTGGATAGCTATTTCCTTCAAGCACGAGAATCAGCAGATGGCAAGCGCAACCCTACCACAGAGGTTCAAACTATTGGTCGCGCTATCCAAGGCCTGATCTCTAGACCACTGAGTCGACATCCTTCTACTTTATTAGATCATTATTTGTTGTGACTAAGTGTTATGATCATTTTTACTGAGTTCATCATATCTGTCATCGCTTCAAATTATAATATTATAATCATGTACCTTATTTGCTTTCTTCTGATTTCAGTTACGTACGAAAAGTTTATAATTTGATCCGATTTTCTCGTTTTAGTCAGATGTTATTACTAAAATTTCTATTCAACTAGGATTGACATAATCAAGGAGATTTAATATCTGTCTTAATAATAATTAACTCTACTTTTAAGTATTCTCTCTGGAAGCAACCTCATTTAGAATTTCCAAACCCAATACACACACACTTTTCAGCCGTCTAACTTTGACATGCGAATATTATTAACTCAGAGCACTCAAGTAGTAATCTAATTGTGACTAAATCGATTTCTTTCGTAGTTCATGACCTAATTGAACTTTATGTGTTCGTCATCGGGGAATGTCAATGGTATGGATTCCCCAACTTCTAGTGAAAAGTAATGGTTGGTTTACATAGATCAGTCAGACATGTCATGATTGTGAGAGATATAACTCATGGCAGTGGATAGTCGTTAATTTAACAAGGCTGGATTTATTAATAGTGATGATTGGATCTTCGCTTGATGATCTAAAAATAATGTGTTGACAACAAGACCTAAAATATCTAATTTTAGATTTTTAACTGGTTCATGTATATGCACTGTCATATGGTCCTAGGCCATAATGAATCAGTTGCCAAATACCTTTAAGTTCTCAATAGCTCAATGTCTGATATCGATTTATGACGAAAACGATCTTTTGCAAAAAAAAAATAAGCCTAGTTAAATCTCATAAACTTTGAAAACATTCATTTGTCATTTTGTTTTGACTGCTATCACACCTTATGTGTCAACATTTTTCTTTTCACATTACACAAGTTACAACCTCAATGTTCTGGGATAAAAAGATTATACAATGTATTTGATCAACTTAAAAATAATTCAAAAACTATATTTCAACCAATAAAGAGTAATAATACAAAACGTTTAAAACAACATAAAAAGATATTTGAACAAATGAAAACAACTGTAAGTAAATCAATTCAATTTATACAACTTTTAAAATAATGAAAATTATACATTTTGTAAATTAGAACATCTAATCAGTATGTATCTCAATGATATTGTAATGAATGAGAACAAAGTTAAGGACAATCATATGTATTTCAATATGATATTACAGAATGTTATAGTAAAATTTGAGAACTATACAGTAAATAGGTCTTATATTTTTTTTAGCGAGTTAGTTTTCTACGGGATGAGGTCGCTAACCACATGGTCAACCCTACCCCTTTATCTGGGCTTGGGACCGACAGTAGCCCTAGAGTGGCTCCAGGTGGAGTTACAGTATATACTTCACTTGCAAAATATCTATCAATTGTTTTTCCTTCGCTTCCATATCAATTACTCTCTGTTCTCGTTTTCTTCTCGTCGATTTTCTCAACTTTCTGCCACCAGGTATTCCACTCTTGATTGGTGATACATACTACTTATATCTGTCGACATCAGTAGTACACACTGTAATATGACTTTTGATATACCGAGTGGTTATGTAATTAGATATACAAAAAAACTTAACTCGGAACTGGTTAACAGTCTTGGCATCCCAGGCTACTAAATGTAATCTTTAAACCACAAATGAGAATTAGATTGTGACCATTCAGGTTTAAGGGCAGAGAACTGTACTATTCATTGACTAATCATTTGCTAAGCGGATATTGATTTATTGGCGAGAGAAGATAAGAGACAGATGAAGTAAAAACCTTTATATTCGAATTTTAATCCGACTCAAAAAGATGCACAATTAAATGTGTGACTAACTAAACCACAACGTATAGTGAACTCAAGCATATAATATCCGCCCAAATAGGGTACTTAGGGTAGACAAAAAGAATACAAGGCTCGTGTTTAGATTAAAACAAATTTAGAATCGAAAAAGATATAACAGTAGTTTACAGGTTAATCAGAAGTTTATACCTGAAGAAATCAAAGAAATCACATAAACCAAATGTTAGCAATTAATTACTAAACATCAAGTGTATTAATATTTCAAAAAGTAGCTTACACCGTAAATCATTTCTTCTTATATCTTCTTCTCACAACATCCAAATATTTTACTACGCTCATTGAATAGGTTTGCTTCGCGTATAATTATTTAACTACCATTAGCAAAGTGTATGATACCTAAAAAACAATGTTGGAATAAATCCCGACATCAAATAATGACCTAATTAGTTTCTAAAATGAATAAGTCAACATTTTGTTTATTTATTTATTTGAACACGTAAATATTGGTACAAAGAGGCACTGAACACATATGCACCACACACGTCACTTGTTATGGACTGTGATACTGCCTGGGTGCCTACAATGAAGCAGCTAGTTTTCTTAGGGAACCACGCCCGGAGCCTTCGACTTCAAGGTCTGATCCACAAGACAGTAGAGAAACGTCAGGAGATGCAGTCTCATGGTAGCCAGTGACCAGCGATTGGTCCATACTCCATTTCTCCCACCAGGATCCTGGAGCCCATGTGCACCATTGGTTTAGAATCAGGGTTTTCCAACTCCCCTAAGTGGACCCTCCATATCCACCAACCGAACCGGTCAAAGCGCCGGACAGTAACTTTTCGTCCTCTCGATTTCGTAAACAACAGTAATGTCAAGAGAAAGCAATGAGTAGGACTTCCTCGGCAGTGGCTATATACGCGTGGCCGTGTGAAAGCATTTTGAAAAAAAGTTAACTTTTCGCACCCTCGGTCGTACCAAGGCATTTTGGGGCAATGATATTGACAAATGATACACATAAAAGCACTTAGTAAGCTATGAAATGTTTACTTACCAAACAAAATCCGTGATAAAATGGTTGTATTTAAATCAAATAAAAAGCAATATCAATTTAATAAATTATATGCAATGTTCCAATTTATTAGAAACGACATTTAACAAATGAAGTATTTACTGTATGGTTCTCAGATTCTATTAAGACGTAATTTTGTATTCAAATACATTCGATTGTCCACATTTGTATTCACTACACTGTAAATAATTCACAACGGAAGTATATAATATACTAATAATAAATTCCAGTTAAATAGTCGTTTAACTTAGTATCATCCAAAGAATACATGCATAGAAACACGTTTTTTAACGATGATCATCTGGTTCATAGTCTGAGACGTTATCACTGAGACAATAGATAACCTACTGTAGAAATGAAATGTATACAATTGACCGTTAATTGAGTAGTGACTAATATCATATCTGTTCCTTTACTTCTAATTGGACTCAATCAATCAAGTTACAATTCAGTCATTAGTCTGAGTGATTCGACATTGTGTACAGCATATTAAGATACTAGGTGGTTGGAGATAAAAGGCAAAGTTTCAGGCAAGACTTGTTAATGAGTGACAACTAGATTCAGAGTTTCCTGTTGACGATTTTCAGTCATCTAACAACCTGACATGGTGCACGCTATGTTCAGCCACCTAGCTACATTGCAATTTGATTAGTAGAATTTGATTGGCACTAAAGAATAAGGCAAACATCGAATCCGTCACTCAGTAACTAATACATTAGAAAAACGATCCTGTTTATTAGATTCGTTTAAAAATAAGCTTCATGAAACAGTATTTTTTTAAACTAAACATTTTACGTGCCATTTTTATTTGTATCACACCATCTTCCATCATCGTTATATAATTCATATGAGAGCCTCACCGTACGTTTTTAAACTTTAGAATAGATGAATTCACTTGGTGTTGTTTTACTTGTATCTTCCCATCGTTATTTAGGACTTCAATTGATCAGTCTCATGTTGGCATATGTGCATCCTATTCGGACTGCCTCAATATAGCCTTAAGTCACAAGCTCTTTAGGATAGATGAACTAGAACATACGTCTTTTCCAAGGATCTATCACAGTTACCTGAATACTCTGTAATGCCTAGTAAAGCGATTGAAAAGCAATTCTAAAGTGTAGTTTAAATTAAGTTTAATAATTGCTTAGAATGACTCTTAGGAAATAAATAAAGGTCATTATTTATTTGACTAAACGTTCAGCGATTTCTTCACATCAGTTATTAATTTGATGTAACTTTATCGTTCCAGATGGATGAAATCACAAATATATGGTCACGTTCAAGTACAGCATTGTGCTTAGAATCACCTTATCTTGCTTTACTCAATGGAAGACGTGATCAATGCTGGAATGGAACAACTGTTTCAAGGTACAGATTTTACAAATAGTTGTAACCCCTCGAAATTAAGCATAGAAATTGGAATCGAAATCCTCTGTCCAGCAATAATATTGTTATTTGTGAATCTTTTTATACAAGCTGTAAAACTGCTTTTATCGTGTTCACTGTACACCACATATCATGTAATTTTGCCATAACTTGTATTGAAGAATAGTCAGAAGTGAAATCTCTCAGTTTTCCTGGATATTAATGTCAATGTTAGTTATACTTGAAACGTCTGAAATGATAAAGAATATTTGCAGCTTATGTGGATATTTTAAGAATGCTGAGCTCTCTGAGCTAGATGATTTAATTGTAGAACTTTCATTGTCATTTTGGACAACATCTTCAGAGCATATTTCAAGAAGAACCCCCTCAATTAAATCATTTATCTCAGAGACCTAAAAATCAACAAAATACTTGAAATTATTATTAGTTTTAAGAAAGCCAATATCATTTTTTAATCATGTCATTATAAAACTGTGAAGGATGATATAAAGAAACATCAGTAGGTTTTAAATGGTAAACTTCTAGTTAGGAAATAGGAATTTTAAAAAGTTACTTTCAGGCAAAATTCTTTGACAATTCAAAACTGAAGGCCCTGGGTTCAAATCTTTCGAGCGGAATCAGGAATGCGCACTGCTGAGGTGTCCCGTACTAGGACGAAACGGCCGTCCAGTGCTTCCAGGTTTTCAATGGTGATCTAGCTTCAACTGACTCATGATTTCAATCTGTGAAAATTTCTAAAATCTCCACAAACCCCTTCTGATGATTATTATTTAATCTCATTTTATTTAACCTAAATATGATTTAAAGCAATTAGTCCATTTGATAAATTTCCATAATACAATTAGAAGACGAAAGTTATCAGAACTATGTGATATATTTGCGCAATGCATTTTGAACAATCTGACCACACACATACTTATTCGAACGTTTTTATATGAAAATTAAAAGGTCAACTAGATAGGTTAATGTAAGACGTAACAAAGAAAAATAAAGTACACAAAAACAATGTGATAACCACTCTGGATAATAAATCACTATTACCAGGGTAGGTTCACGGTAAGAACAAATTGTTTTTGAACACATAAAGGGGATTTCAGTTTCCGTAAAGTCAAGGCTTTAATAAACCTTAGTATACATCCTTGAAGGTTTATGTACAACACTACATATGATGACTTGATATCAACTTTATGAACAGTCTCAACTAATTGTTTCGCAATGGAGGAAGGTGTCTGTCTATCGTGTGATTTTATTTGACTATTGGAATTGATTTGTTCCTGTAGCCATTTGAGTATATGTTCCGGCACCGTTAATTGCAGACCGCAATCGCCCCTCCCTATGTAGATGTTTCCGCACATACATGTAAATTGGTAGACACAGTGGGTGAAACATAGACCCTGTCTTTTCATTAATGACAAGTTGGGCTGCATAAAATGTCCTGTTGATAGATAATTTAAGTCTCCGTTTCCAAATGAGACTGTTTGAGTCACCTCTGAATGGTAACATAATGAAAACTCGCTTTATGGGTGCCAGAAGCGTCATAGGTCTAATCGGATTACAACCCTTCCAGCGGTTTAGGAACTTCAATGAACCACTATTTATTAACGCTTCAGTCAAAAGCTTCGTCTCTACTTTAATAGTATAGCCAGTATAATAATGGTTACTCAATATCACATATGGACTGAAGTTAGTAATGTGTACCATAGAATTCTAACCTAGTTGTTAAAGGTTAAATGTACGTTGAGAAATATAAAAATTGATATGTTATAAGATCACATACCTAGTACTCTAAGCAAAGATGGGTAGCGACTAGCACTGAAATCCAGGATGCGCGTTTCGTCTTATTTGGAACTAGTCAACTGGATGTATCTGCATCTCAGAGTTGATGTTCACTCTGAGACTCAAACCCAGTACCGTTCGCTTCAAACATCATCGCGTTACCTACTTAGCTACTGATTCCTGACAGCCACTTGTATGTTAAATGGGGTGGAGTTATTGTTAACCTGAATCTTCGCATTGATGTTTAGGACTGAAAGTGATCAGTCGCTTACTAGCATATGTACATACTGTGCGTATCACCTAGTTATTGCCTCAATTCATAAGCATTATAAGCAAAGATGGGTAGTGCCTAGCACTGGGATCCAGAATTTCTCCAAAATCTCAAATACTACTTAAATTGTACAGTTTGTTTTTATGTCACATTTAAAAATATTTTTTGACAGTTTTAATGAAGAGGAATGTACATTTTGTCAACATGAACCAAAATTACAAGAAACTATTGTTACAAGTTCACAAAATGAAAATTATAATGAGAAGTTATCACCAAGTCGAAAACAACGAACATCATTTATACCAACAAATGATTTACAACAACAATCAAGTGTCAGTGAAACAGATGATCTATTATCAGCTTCAATTGCATCAACTAACTATTTATTGAATAATCCATCATGGAATTCTCCATTACAACATGATGTAAGTTAATTAGAGTTTGGAGTGAACTAGTATTAAATAAGTAACAATTTGATTTTAGACTTTGAAATGAAATAACATAAAATAAGTTTTAGTATGACTGTAAACTGTGATGTTTCAGAGTCTTCTTCAACAATGAACTATTTATGAAATCAATGCAAACTGTTTATTGGTTTTCATTACGTTGAATTTTATCGACAAACCTTCTGCAATAATAATATAGCGTCTATTTTAGTAATTAGTTTTAGGACGTAATTCCAGAACTTTTGATGAGAAACCGTGACAATAGAAATCTAGTCATGTCAAGTATGAGGCACTCAGCCATTGGTAACGTTTGAACATGATTGCATTATGTAGTGAATTGATAGGAGTTAAGCACTTAGACCATTACGTTTTGGTCATGGTATAAAGTCTAAGCGTTCACCTCGAAATCCGAAGGTCCTGGATTCGATTTCATGTAGTTTGGTTATTGATTCATACTGTTGAAAAATCCTATACTAGAGCGAAGCACCTCTTCAGTGCCTCCTGCTTTTTAGTGATGATCTAGATAAAATCAGTTCCTAGTTTAAACTATGAAGAATATATGTAAAGTGGAAACATTTCCGTATTAACATAATTTTGTTTTCAGTATACAATTGTCATTATTTTTGGAAAGTATTGTGTTCGTAACCTACCATTGTAACTGATTCTAATAATAAAATGAAGGAACAAACGATTTTAAAATAATTTCAATGGTTAAGATCATGAGTCAGTTGAAACTAGACCACCATGGAAAACCTGGAAGCACTGGACGGCCGTTTCGTCCTATTGTAAAAATTCCTATAATGCAAATTAAAACAACGTGTATAAGTGAACAGTATTGTTTTCAATTAGATCCTGATCCAGTTTTGCACTAATATACTGTAATACTTCTATGCATATATGAAAAATAGTTAAATCGATCAAGGCAATTTATGGGTCAATAATTACAGCGAAACAGATTACATAACCACACATTATAAGTAAAAAGTACAAACTGATAGTATGATGATAGGTGTACTAGATGTACAGAATTGATTAAAAAACCGAATCAAGGTTTTATAACAGAAAGTAGGTAAAAAAAACTTGGAAAAAATGGCAGCGAAATGACACCGGTTTGATATTTTCACGTATCCATATAAATATTAATGTGTATTAGAGTAACGATGTGCCTTTTCGTTATGAGAAAGCATAATAAGTGGATATATTCTAATATCTTTGGCTTCCAAATAAAATAACAATCCATGATTAGTAAATTTCTTGTTACCATTACTTTCGTGATCAGGAATCGTCATTGCATTTATCTTTGAACGAAGTGATTTTTTAAAATATAATAATATCTGTTACCCCTATGATTTCTTCTATCAACCAAAATGTTACTAAATGTTAATTTATGGTCACCACTGTAGTTGGAAAACTTCGTTACACGATTAAAACCCATTTCCTTGTAAATCTGAACTTCTTCATGATTGCACTTGTCTCTAAATGCTTTCAGAAATACTTCACGATTAACAAGATATTTATACATTCCAAACTTTCTGAAATATTTATTGCTACTTAATAAAATTAAGTAGTAAAAAGTCACAGAAATAGAAATATTAAATTATTGAGATATCTTGTCAAAAGTTGCAAATATCTGGTAAGATAACTTGTAGTTTTGTATATATTCATTGAAAAAAACTTCTGATTAAATGCTCTCAAATCAAAGGTTATTCTGCAGACCAGATGTATCACATGTAGAGTGTACTTCATTTTGATTGAGATCATGAATCGACTGGTGTTAGACCACCATTGAGAACCTGGAAGCATTGGATGGCCGCTTCGTCCTGGCATTGGACTCCTCAATAGTGCGCACCCACAATCTCGCACTGGGGATCCCACACGGATCGGACTCCAATGGTTACGTCAGTCAGGTATCTACCTGAGACAATGGATGAATGGTTGCGCAGCCATTCATGGATCAATTGATGTTAGATATTAACACTATTGGATGCCGGTTCAGAGGTTTAGAGGTTGTGCGTTCGCACGTGAAACCGAAGGTCTTGGGTTTGGATCCCGCGTACAGGATCGTAGATGCGCCCTGATAGTTAGTCCCATAATAGGACGAAATAGCCGTCCAGTGCTTTCAGGTTTTCAATGGTTCTCTAACATTAATCGATTCATGGTCTTAATCAAAACTTAACAATCTTTATAACCCAATACTCCATTTTTGTCAGCTTGGATATCTAGTGCAAGGCAAATTTTTAGATATTCGATTTTTAACAATGATCGTAAAAATGTATTTATTACACTAAAATAGTGTTTAGTTGATCAAAGCTGTAGGATATTTTCAGTATAGGTTTACTGTAAAACAAGAATATCTATTGTGATCTACATTGTAACTCAATTATTGTGTTATGATGTACCACTTGCAAACTTGAAAAGTGAAAATTATGGTTCAATTGAATATGAATATGATTTTACTGCATTTTCTCCGTCAAATAAAATGGATGTTTTGTTTTCAAGATGATTTTTTTTTCAATCTGTTTAATTTCAGTTACTTTCTCCATTCTATTTTTTTTGTTATAATCTAACTGTAGAAGGAATTAGCTTTTCGACGTGCCAATGAAATTCTAGTAAGAGCATCTAGAGATTTGGAATGGTCCGTGAAGTCCTTGTTAGCTGAAACGAACTATTATAATTCATTAAATGCCAAGTCTACTTCAAATGGAAGTGGTAAATCTAAAGGAAATACACCACCAGAATCATGGGCACGAACTTCAACATCTCGAAAACCTGAAGGTATTGAACTAAGCTCTGTTCGACTTGATCCATATATTATTCATACATTCATTTTCAGGGACTTCTCATGATCTGTCTCGAGGTAGTAACAGTAAATTTTGATGTTGATTAAGAAAATCACGAAACCATTGCAAATTTTGCTAATCTTTGCAAAAGATGCGTATGATATAACATTTTCAAATTGTTTACTGAATTCAGTAGAACTGTGAACTATGTAATAAACAACCTAGTATTGACAGATGACCGATGCCTTAAAGTACAAAAAGGCGATATAAAAGTATAAAATGACCTCCAAGTTATTTAGCCACACTAATAGAACAACATACCGTTCTTTAATTTTATGAATGACATGACACGAAATCTAGAAATTCCTAATAATATAAAGATCAGCAATCTTAGTCTCCTTGATTGAACCGAAGTTATCAAAAGATCCTTTATCTCTGGCCTAGCCACAAGTGACACGAATCTTCCAATTCGCATAAGACTTTAAAGTTAAAGTCTATTTGAACTCACTTATTTATGCCAAATAACTTGCTTTTAATTCACGAACAACAACTACAAACAGACGAAAGGAATACCTATTTGACGACTGATAATGTGAACTGATCTCAGAAGGAGTGATGCAAGTATTGTATAGCTCGATATGATCACTGATAAGAATCAGTGATCATACCAAAAATGTAGGTTCATTATGCAGAGGTCATTCGTCATCATTAGTATGTTCTGGAAAACGTCTGCATTCTGATCGGCAATGTCCTCAATAACATATGTTTCACAATAGAAACCGGATCGAACAACAAAATACTATTCTCGGATGTGCTGACCACCTTAACCAACATAAGATAGAGGAGTCAGATGTATAGGGAGCCAATTCACACGGACCACGTTCTCATTTAAGTTGTGAACAACCCAGGAACTAGTAAAATCAAATGAGTACAAACTTTATACAAAAGATCAAAAAACATAATCTAACACACTTACCACACCAAAATATGAAGAGAACTATTTAATAATTATTTTTCAAAAGAAGAGATATCCACCGAAATTCGTTGAAGAACATCAATCAAACTCATCAACCGAAAAGAAAATCAAATATAGAAATCAACAAATGGATCATCCTAATATATGTAAAGGACATATCAGAAACTACAACAAGATTATTGAGGCCGTTTGAAATACGTGTAACACATAAACCAGTTAGATCGCTTCAGTCAATCTTGCGCGAAGTAAGGATAAAATCCCAATAGCATCATGAACCAATTTTAGTTAGACCACCACTAAAACCTGGAACTAAACGGTCGTCCAGTCTTTTCAGGTTTTCAGTTATGATCTTAATTAAAACAGTTTGTGATTTTAATTAAACTCAACAATCTCCACAACTCTATACTCATGAAAAGTGAAATGACAGAGAAGAAAAACCAACGTCATCTACAAAATAAACCACCCATTTCAAGAATCACTATCTCAGACAAGGTGAACTCCCTTTTCATCTTCATCTGCATAAATGTCAACCGTCTGTTAAACACTTCAATATTTCTTTGCTTAAACTAATATACGTTGATAATTGACAAGGAAAATGATGAGATTTTAGCGAGAAGTAATACAGGGAGAATCAGAAAATCTTTAGAAGTTTAACACATAGGTCAATCAATAATCAATAGGCACATTGAAAATTAGGTCGCATTTACCAACTAATTGAAAATATTATGAAAAAATTTCGAATCAAGGATAAGGTCGAAGGGAAAGACAATTAGTATAAATGAGCATTCGATGACAGAATAAAGGTCAACAATCAAGACTGAAGTCTGTTGACCAAACAGTCAATCATTTCTACCAAAAGTTTGGGCTGGTAACTTCATTCAGAAGAACAATATGAGCTCGATGATGAAACTGTCAAGCTAAGTGAACGGAACTCTACTAAAACTCATCCACCTGAGCTATGAACCCATCTGATTATCGATATTTAACAAACAAACTCTCTTGAGGGCGATAATACTTTCCGAATAAGTGAAATGAAATCGTAGATTTTACATGTTAATATAAGTAAAATAATTTTGGGCGACACGTCCCCTATTGTTATCAGTGAGTTACGATCTCACAACTGATCCGGTTGAATTCCACTGGTCACTGCTTCTCACTAGAACTCCAGGATATACTTCTTGAAGCCAGTCACTAGTTAGCATATGTCACCATTGGCACCGTTGAATGCCGGCTCAGTGGTCTAGTGGTTAAGCGTCCGTGCGCGAAGTTGATAGGTCCTGTGTCCGAATCTCGCAAGGTGGAGTCGTGGATCCTCATTGCTGAGGAGCCCCACAATAGGATGAAACGGCTGCCCAATGCTTCCAGGTTTTCCATGGTGGTCTAGTTTCAATTGCCTTATGATCTCAACTACTGAAACTACTACAATCTCCACAAAACCCCTTCTAATACTAAATTAATTTTTTCAAGCACTGAAGTAACCTGATTTCACATACAAAAGTAAACGAAAACAATAAGCATCTTATATAATATAGAAAAGACTACGAAATTCTTTTCAAACTGTGTTCTAGGGTAGATGTTTATTCTTTCCATTTGAAAGTATCGACTTATTTATTTTAAAATATATTTGTATGATTTACAAATGTTTATTTCATTATTTCATTTTCAGAACAATATGAAACTGGAAAAACATCATCCAATTCACATTCAGATATGACCAATTCTTTAGGTTTGCTTGCTTATGGATCAATACTAAACTGGAATGCACAAGGAGTAGGAGAAGAAGAAGAAGACGAAGAAATACAACGCAAAATACCAATGAATTCTAAAAATAATAATCCATCATCATCGGATTCCTCTTCTAAACCAATACGAATGACTATAAATCAAGGGAATTCAAAGAAAAAAGTAAAACAAGAATTCATTTTTGAACATAATCATGTTTAAGTTACGAATTTATTTCAGTAGCCAGGGTTAGATAATGAACAGTTATCAGTTTATTTTTAATTGTGCGAACATAATCTCCTGTGTAAAACATATTGACACCAAAGTCTAGAGTGGGCAATCTTAGAGAAGATTGATCAATAATATTTTATCTTGAATTAATTAGATAATACATTTAAATGAATCGGCATCATGAACTAATGTTAGTTAGATAACCGTTGAAAAACGAGAAGCACTGAACAGCTGTTTAGATGTGTAATGCTTGTATAACTAAGATTATTTCTTTATGTGAACAGTGAAATCTAACGATATTCACAAACTCTTCTGTAGTAACAAATAAAATTAAGTTAATAGATTCATTCAGTTCAAATTAATTCAGAACAATCAAATAAGCTTATCACAATCATCATTAATTTTAAGAAAGCATTATGCATCAAACGCATACATCAATAAACTTTAGCCGAACTTCAGATTCTCACCATCATACAAACCTTTAGTTAAAAAGAATGATATGACTGAAATTTATCAATTGTTCTGACAAGAAAATTGAAGATCGTTTATATAAGGTCATGGGTTCGAGTCCCTTTGGTGAGGGATCGTGGATGCGCACTGCTGAAGAGTCCCGTACTGGAACGAAACGGTTGTCCAGCGCTTCCAAGTTTTCAATGGTGGTCTAGCATTGATTCATTCATCATATCAATCTAAACTCGACAACTTTCACAACCCTATACCGATATATAATATCAAGTTACCTTGTGTTTTATGAGTTATGTAAAACATGTCAAATTTCTCTAGTATGAAGAGCTAAGTTATGAAAGAAATCGACCTTTGGAATTTATTTAAACCTTTTTCAAATGAGTTTGTTGATGATATAGATATTAGGCTTTTTCATATTCTTCGGAGTTTATCAACAACCGTTTCAAGTTAATAACCTTTAAACTTATACATAAGATATATTCACATTACTAATATGCTTTAAACCACATTTTATCGGATCGTTTATCACTGTAATCAAATAATCTTATGGGATCCCATAACAATTTAAACCATTCCATTTTTCCTTTGTCCAGTGACTTTCCAGTTTTAAGTAAAAATCAGTTTTATCATTATTGCATGAAACAATTTTTAGATTTTTATTATCATGACATTCTTCAAATATTCACCTAAATTTCAAACAGTCTCTATAATATAATTCCAGTCTAACTAGATCTCAAAGTTTTTCTTTAACTTTTTGTATAGATACTTACGTATTGCACGTCGTAATGATACCTTTCGGAGTTGGATCAAATTTTATGAGTTCTCTTTGTCTGTTCGATTGTTGGAGTCTGTTTTACAGGTTCTATACATTTGTTATAGATACTTCTTATTATTGTGTCTAATTTTAATTTCGTAAAATCAAGTTATTTAATTCTAACTCATGCAAACTTATTATTGTTTATAGTTTAGAAGAATTAAGTAGTTCTATATTTCTCTCTTCCTTTGTTTCTCTGTTTCAGAATTCACCTGACAAGAAACAACAAACAAGACCGTTAGATAGAAATTCAAATCTTGGTTCTGGTTTTTTTCCAGGTTGGACATTATATGCATGGACCCCAATTAGTTCACCTACTAAAGAACATACATATGGGAAACCTGTAGATAATAGTTTAATTCAAGAAGGTATCGATTTAGATGAAGTTTAAACTTTTTATTATCTGCAAATAAGTAATCAATAACCCCGTTGATCGAACAAATTTCCTACTTCAAGCCGAACAGATCCCATTGGATAGAAATATTTTTGTAATTATTTGAACTATTTATTAAGTGATTCAGATCATTATTGTGAGGTGTTTGCGGATATTGTTGAATATTGTAGTTTACATTATGAACTGGCATTAGACAACCACTAGAAACTGGAAAGCATTGGACAACTGTTTCATTCTATTATAGGACTCTTCAGTGATTTAAAGGTTAAGCGCTCACTTTAGAACCTGTTTGTTTTGGATTTAATTTCTGGTGAACTCTTGGATGAGTATTGGTAAAACATCCCATACTACGATAAAACGGTTGTTCAGCGCAAGGTGTTTATTTAATGATCGTCTAAAGAAGGATAGTCTATGATGTATATTATGACATCAAAACTTGTTATTTCTACTAAAACTTACTCAATCAACATTAAATGACATCTCCAATAATCAGTGAACATTTTAACCTACTAAGTAACAACTATTTATTATTTTCAATGATCTTATCTTATAAATACTATCCAAAATGAATTAATGTAAATCATACAATGGAAGTTGAGATTGAATTTTAGTCCACACATCTTTCCTATTGTTATAATTGAAAAAAACTATGTACGGTAATTAATCGACTTCGAAAGAAATATCTTGATGTTGATAATTTTAAGGAATGATAACTCAAAAACATAAATTAATTATTGGAAAGTTTCAATGTTAGATTGTTTTCAATTATATCTTTTTTATTGAGATCATGAATCCATTGATGTCAGATCACCATTGAAAACCTGGAAGCACTGGATGGCTGGTAGTCTAACATTAATCGATGCCAATCAAACATTTAACAATCTCCGCAACCCCATACTGATAATAATCAACATGTTCTCACTAGTGACTGGCTCTAAGATGATTTCATGAAGTTCTAATGAGAAGCTATGACCAGTGTAATTCAATCCGTGTCGAGTAGAGATAGATATCTACCTCAGACAATGGATCAGTGGTTGTGCAGCCATTCATGGATTGATTGAAGTTAGACATTAACACTATTGAATGTTGGTTCAGAGGTTTAGAGGTTGTGCGTTCGCACGCGAGATCGATAGGTCTTGGGTTCGAATCTCGAGAGGCGGGATCGTAGATGCGCATTGCTGAGGAGTCACGCAGTGGCACGAAATGGCCGTCTAGTGTTTCTAGATTTTCCATATTGGTCTAATTTCAATTGACTCATGATCTCAACTATTAAAATTAGTATAATATTTACAAAACCATTACTGATATCTTATTTTCATATTCTATTGTTATTTAGAAATAAATTATGATGAAAGTGGTTTTCACGATTCCAAAGGTGAACTTGATTATCCACAAATGTTCCCTTTTATGAATATGAATTCACAAGGATTAAATATATCAATAATGGGATCTGATGAAAAATCATTACGTAATCATAGTGTATTGAATCCAAATTATCATCAGAATCTTAATAATTCATTATGGACAAATAAACAAAATACAGAAAATAATGTAACAACTAACTTAACTGATTTAAACAAAATTCAAGATTCCAATTCAAATAAAAATGTAGCTGTTTGTGTTAATCTTCAACGAGAACAATATAAGATTATAAATATTAGCATATCTGTGATGCTTTTAATTTATTTATTGGGGATATAATCTGATAAATGATTGATATATTCACATGAATTGCCTTTTTGTCTGTCACACATACATGAGCACATGCACACACACACAAGTATCCACTTATGCATTCATGCACATGAACCATTTCATATACCCTACATTATATCATTTTTCAACTTGTTTTACAATGAAAATGCTTACTTTAAATAATGTACAGAAATATTTGTTTCTCTTTTAGAAGAAGTATTTATGATAGAATTTTCTTACTTTATTCTTTATTAAATATCAATGAATTTAATTGATAACTATCTATTGTTGACAAGAATAGAAGAATGAAAACACATGGTAACCAATTGTAAGAACATTCAATATTACAATAATATACGATAGGGTTTCTTTATGAAATTGTATAATGACATATTGATTTGATTGAGATGATTTTTATCATGGATTTCATTATTCTCTCCCGTCACCATCATCACACTCTCCCCTTTCGTTTTTTGTTGTTGTTCCATTTCATAAGAACTTAAACCATTTAAATGCTATTTCATTCAGATTTCGATCATAAAGTAAAGCGTTTACATATATTAATTGAAAAATGTGAATAATCCATAGAAATTTTACACCTATCCATTGAAATATCACTCAATTATTTCAATGGTTTATTAAATAGAATGATATCTGGTATATGATTATAATCAATGATATGAACAAGTAGGGATATGATTATTCTTTCATTGTTGTACTTTCTGCTCAGCATTTCTCTTTGTTTTGTTTGTTTTTTCTCCCAAATTTCTCTCGTAGATAGAAAAGACCAAAAACAAAACAAAAAGTAAACTACATTTCACTATTAATAATCATTGTAAACTTATTTACTTCGTTGGATAATATACATTCATGAACTGTAATATAATTGACTCATATGATGATAGTCACTATTCAGTTTGACTATATAGATTAATCTATAGAATGTTATTCTTGCAATGGATAACATTTCATTTAGTATAATTTAAGAGACAAAAAAACAAAAAGAAAAGAAAACAGAAATGAGTAAATGATAGAAAATAACCATTGAATATCATTCCGTTGATAAGATTATAGTTAATCTATATGAAACAAATGCATAAATCTTTATTTATTTAGTGAATATAAATTAATAGAGAATCATAAAAAGTACTAAATGTACTTTATATTTATTTATTATATCTTAATTTCTTCTCTTTTTTTTCTTTTTTGTTGTTGTGCTTGTATTTCCTTTCTGTTTTGTTTTTCTCATTTTCTCTTTTCAAATGATGCCATTTCATATTTTGACTCATAATCAGAGAGAGAGAAATTAAAATAAATTTTTTGAATGCAATACTGTTATTTCTTTAAATGTTAAGTGAATATATGTGTATAACGTTGTATCCTGGCTCAGTAGTCTTGTTGAGGCTAATTTCCTCTATATCTGACTCCAATAAATGATATCCTGTTAATTGAGTATTTAAAGCAGGGTAAATCTCCTAGTAGGATTATGGATTTATTCGAGATTATTCAGAAGCCTGAACACCAGTTGTAGAGATATTTTTATTGTTAAAGATAAATAAAATCCACAAGCGTACAGCGAGCAAGCACACTGAGAAACCAAAAGAGTGTGTGTTAAAAATCCATATATATTTTTGAGTGTCAATCAAGTGTGGATAAATTATTGATTATCTGCATGTTACAACCAATAGGAGAATAGGTTGAGGTTGATGTTCAGACACGCTCTCAATCATACACACACAGAAATTAACATAAGTGAATTAAGTATCTGAATTACAGTGAGCAGATAAATAATACAATAGTTAAATAGGCTTGCTACAGTCTAAAAGTTCAGTTCTTGCCGCTAGACTTAAAATACTGGATCCTAGATGCTCATTTCTGATGAGTCCCATACTAGAACGAAACAAGTAACCAGTGCTTACGAGAATCTTTGTAGAGGTTATTGGTATAAAATAAAATTTTCATATAATTCGTTCTTATTATGAATACAAATTTAGCGTTCTTATTTTCCTTAAAAGGAAATTATTAGAAAATATGTCGAAGAGTAGCAATAAATTAGTGAGGCAATTTAGAGCAAAGTACAATTTTTTCTTGTACACATAAGTTGGATTTCAGTTGTCACATCTCTGTTACCTATGAGTAACGTATCAGTGTGCTGTTGTTCTGTCTTTTTTTTCATCACCCAACAATTTATGATTATATATGCTAACTGATTTGGATCCATAGAATGTTTTCCTTTAGTAATATTGGGTGATCTTACACCATTCAGTATCGGTGTTGTTGGCAGGTAATTAGAGATTTTACAATCTAATACTCTATATTCTTTTTTAAGCCACATCCCAATGCTTTATAGATAAGTAAATACATTAAGGAGTAACTAGAAGAGGATTGCACTCTAAGTGAGTGTCTGTAGGTGGGGTTTTTCATATTACCTTAAGTTTTTAAACTAAAGTTAGGAAAATTTTGCACAATACTGGTTCACTTATTTGACAAGTATCCTCACAGTTCACGTTATTCTTTGTAACTGAAGTTTTGACCAACTGACTATTTTTATGGCAGTAGTTATTTGTGGCATAACTGAAATAAAAGTGACTATATTTAACTGATGACTGCACACCAAGACTATTTTACTGGCACTATTAAATTAAGATCATTACCAGCCACCGAACGTAATACCGAAAAGCCATAGAAGACAGTCAGTAATATATATTTGCATTGTCTTGAAAATAACTTGTCTTTTTCAGGCATGAAATACGATGCAATCTGCCTAGGAATTATTTATTCATTGATAAAAAATTGATCAGTAACAGAATTAAAGTACCAAAGTAGCCCCATACTTTCTAGGTTTTTGGAAGTTTCAAAACCTTGGACATGAGTTTCATGCTGATTAGCATCAATCAGTAAAGCATATTTACAGTTTTGCGACAACTGATGCTCTTGTACCATCTAAACACACGCCACACAGCTTCACTCTCTGCAAAATTATCAATGAGCTACTCGGTCATCGACTAAACCCTCGCACGACTAAAATATCTAAAATTAAATCATCACTGAATAGTGATCCATATTGCCTTTGTCTATTCCTTGAGCGGTGATAGAGTTTTATCCATGTGATTGTAATGTAGCAATTAATTTGAGTGACCTGTTATTCTCTTGAAATGTTAGATAGTTGTAGGTACTTGAATGGAAGTCACTAATACTTATGTTTATATTGAACAGTATTTAAAACTGATTAATCTTGAATCAAATGAAGCCCTCATCATACACACTTTATATTTAGCCACTATCATCAATATTCAAAATTCACCATAATTTGCCGTATCATTTTCCATTTAAATGATTTACCCTCCTTATTAATTTCATTTTTTGATTGAGATCACGAACCGATTGATGTTAGACCACCATTGAAAACCTGAAAGCACTGGACGGCCGTTTCGTCCGTGTCAGGTAGAAACAGGTGTCTACCTCAGAACAATGGAAGATGGTCGCGTAACTTCGTGGATTGGTTGAGATTAGACATTACCACCATTGAGTGCCGGCTCAGTGGTCCAGTAGGTTAAGCGTTCACATGTGAGACTGAAGGTCCTGAGTTCGAATGCCGCGAATGGGATCGTGGATGCGCACTGCTGAGAAGTCCTGCAATAGGACGAAACGACCGTAAAGTGCTTCCAGGTTTTCAATGGTGGTCTAACATCAATCGGTTCATGATCTCAATCAAAAATTTAACAATTTCCACAACCCCTAAACTGATAATTTCATTTTTATTTTGTCAAATAATTGAAATTCACTAGTTAACTAAAAGATTTTATTGTATATGCGTCTAGTAGTTGGATTTTATTTATATATTACTAAAGTATTTGGTTTCCATAAACCAGTTTATATATTTCTTTATATTACTTTAAACTTACATTTCAATCACATGTTTAATTATTAATGTTCATAGGAATAGAACAGAATAAGTCAATTTAAAGAGTCACTTCAAACAATATAAAACATATGATATTCATAAACCTGTTTTCTTTCTAGAAAGAAATAATCTTTTATTTTGTCATCATTGTAATAAAATGTTAGTTTCCAACCAGGTGACATTGTGATTTCGCATCGTTTTACATTATTCGCTTTTAAATATAAACACTTGATAATGATATTATATGTGATCTGTGTGAATTTATCCAAGTCTTATCATAGAACGAATCAACTTCTATTGAATTCTTTTTTTTAATGTTTATTTGATTAAAACCAGTTTATGATGTAAACAATGAAAATTAATTTATTTTCACATACTTTTTTTAAATAATAGTAATAACTAACTTAGAAAGGTAAGTCAGGGTGATCTAGTAAGAAGCCGTGTCCACTGAAGTTTAAGTATATCGGATGTAAGACAGTAATCCAGCGCAAGCGATAGAATATGGTCACACAATAGTGAAAATTGTTTGAAGTTAAGTATGTACATGATTGAATGCCGACTCAATGGTACAAATTTCAGGTGATCACCAGGAGACCTATAGGTCCTGGATTCGGTCCCCTGAGTTGCTGTCGTGGAAACGCACTGCTTAAGGGTCTCATACTAAGATGAAACTGTTATCCAGTATTTCCATGTTTTCAATGATTTTCTAACTAACATCAGTCTGTTATATCAATTACGGTCAGATTTATTAATCCAATAATCCTATAATTCTGAGATGAGTAAATTTATGATGGGAAGTAATCAAACTTCTATAGTTAAGACTGTTATGCTCTTAATGACCTGTTAATTATCACGTGATAAGATCGCCAATTAGAAAACCAACTTATTGACCAACCAATGACGTATAAACAGTACAAGCAGCGTAGAATTAACTCTGAGTTCTTATTGATCCTTCGAGATCATAGGTTCTCACCCAACTCAGCCACTTAATTCCAGAGCATTAATTTCAGCCTCCGCTATATGAATAACATATTTCATACATACTGTGTTTATATACAAACAAATCAGACTATATCATACCATAAAATAAAAAAATAACAACTATACACGATGAAGCCAAAGGTAGCTGTGAGAGACTGTAACTAATAAATTGGGAATAAATTAAGAATAGTAAATCTTATAATAATAATCAATAGATCAAATGGAAGCTTATAATAAAAGGAATATGAATATGCATATAACATAGTTACTCGATAAATATTCAATAAGAATATATGTAATGATAGTCCATAAATAACTCCTAACCGTTACCATTCATTTATCCTTCGTTCAGATATAACAAACATCAATGGCAATATGGTAAAAGAAGAATAAGTCAAAATTTGAGTAGCTGTTTTTGTGATAAATTAGTTTGTACATTTTTTGTTTACGAGCACCGATCAAATAGTTATTTAGTGGTCTATTCTTTCAGTTGAAATCGTTATCTTTATTTTAACTTTGTATCAATTGACATGCATCATTTCGTACACATAGTTCCCTTTATTATCTTAAAGAGAGCAAGAACAAAGATTGGTGGAGAATAATATGAATTCATTTTATTTCGTTAGGTTCTCATCAGCTGCTTACAACCTAAAATATTTAAAATTCAACATTATTACAGATATTGACATACTTATACATAAGAGGGTGATTAAGGATGAATAAATGTATCATGGTGTAGCGAAGATTCCGATAGAGTTAATGAGGTCATAAAAGTTTGTCTCGAATACATAAAGTTTGAGAGGGAAAGTTCCGGAACATTGAAATAAAGATTAGAACTTATCCTACAGCAAAATTGATTGTCCTATCCAAAACAACATGTTCTTTGACACAATCAAAGGTCGACAGGTATCCCTTTCATGTTTCCACCAATTGTGCATAAAAATTCACATGTATCTGCCAAAGCAGTTACATTGGTACAACAGAAAGGAGAGCCTACGTTCGATTCAAAGAACATATTCCGAAAAGCTTAACATCAAATGGATTGAAAGCATTTAACAGTGTCATCGCAAGACATCTCCTTGACACAGGACACGAAGTCGATACACTGAAGTCTTTCAAGATGATTAATAAACAATCAAGCTCCAACCTTCTGAAATTTGCTGAAGCATTAGCAATCAAACGTCTAAAACCAGACCTATGTATACAAAAAAGAGTAATAAATCTTTCTTCACCCTGGTAACAATAACCCCCCCTTTTTATTCATTTATTTCTATTTATTTATTTATTTATTGCGTCATTATTCCAACTCTTTCTGAAGTTTAAATTACATCACACACAATTGACTGATTTCAGATCATATTTTCTTTATTACCATTAATCTATTTTCATGAGTTCTAATCTCTATTTCAATGTTCCGGAACTTTCCCTCTCAAACTTTATTTA